TTCACGCAGGATCGTTCAATCGAAAGTTTCGCGATCCAACGATTGTGAGATTCCGCATATCATGGAATTAGGCACTCTCGTGATCACAGATGGACAACCCACATGTTTCTCTTCTCGTTCGCAACTTTAGAGGAAAATTTGCTCTTTTTGGCTGTTACATGTCTTGGAGACCCTTATTTTTATTTCTTTATTCCTAATTAGAGTTATTTTTTATTAGAACTCTATTTATGTGTCATATTTTTGCTTTGAGACTTTATCTTCTATTTTATGTATTTTAAGAGATACCTCTTTAAACTTATGCTCTTCAGAGTGTTGTATCATTTTTCTCTTGCAAGTGGTGTGTATGTAGCTTGCTCAGGAACAAGTGGTGGGTCCCCCTCGCCGACCGTACTTCATTGTTTGTCGTTTGATTTCCTGTTTTTAACTTGGATAGCCGCCGAACATCGCTTATCCCCTTCCAATTATCGTTGGCCTCTCATATTATCCTTTCCTTGCTATCCCACAACTGCCTCCTCGCTAAATCCTATTCTTGAACACCTCTAGGTGCCGTAGAGTAGTGTCAATAAATTTCTTGATGACTTTAAAAATCTGATTCATCAATTACATAAAAGCACTTGGAGCATCAGACAAGCTAAAATTCATGATTGTTTTTATATATATATATATATATATATATATCCTATAGCTTGAAGGCGATCTTATACATATTGTTGGGTCTCATTCGAATTTCATGGTAAATATTGTGTAAACCAATCTAGGAAAATATGCTAGTTGATATAATTGATCTGATAAGCCGTTTAGTCGTAAGATGGTGAGCCTATAGTTGATGGTGATCTTATTGACAGCTCTATTATCAGTGCACATTTGACATTATCTATCTTTCTTGAGCACAATTAAAGCTGGTTTGACTAATACTCTCAGGAACTAATCCCTGAGCAATAAGATCCTCTATCAATTTCTAGAACTCTTCATACTCCACTGGTTGCATTTTGTATGTTGGTCGTTGGGGGAACACCGACCCTTGAGATGGAATATATGACATGTTGAAGCTACCATAGAGGTGATAGTTCAGGTGATGGGATGCTAGTCAGAATATCTTGAAACTCCTCTTGCAAAGACTGCATTGCCTTAGGTGTTAACTCTTATGTCTCATTTTTCTCTATGCTCTCCAATGCTAGTACCATTGCCGCCTCCCTCAATTCATGTGAAAATATAGTGCAAGCATTACACCTCATCTCTACCCGAGTAATCATCACTGTTGATTCCTTTAAGGGCAAGAAGACATTATGCTTCCTATTCTTATTAAATGAGGTGTTTTACTAGGCGTACTATTGTCATAATTTTGCAATCGATCTGATAGAATGTGACATACATCCCTAAGCATGACGCCACACTACAGTTGCTCTTATCTCTAATGGAAATCTCGACTAGAAGTCTCATGTCAACATTGTTCTCATATCTCTTTCTTCAATAAGTCATGGGATAGGGTTAAGAGTATTTATCAATAGTGCAACTTTTCAAGTGCTCATTTTGATTTTGATTTTTTGATTTTCCACTTTGGAAAACCTTCTTTTTTATATTTTATCACATTATATTCATTTGAGTTTGTTCATTTTAGAAGCATTTCAATATCTCCCTCACATAGGTAGTGTTCGGGAAGCATTGGACTTGCCACCATGCATAGTTGCCGTTTCAAACACTTCAACTGGTGTTCGGAAAGTGCTGGGCCTATCACCATGCATAGTTGTGTTTCAAATAGTGTGATTGGGGCCTTTAAAGCTATCACATTTAAAAAAATGTACACAGTCTTTCATGTATTTGCACACAAAATAATATAAGATATCTTTGCTTGTGAAATTGTCATAATAAATTTTGTTGCGGTAAAAAAAAATTAGATAGATAGAAGTGGTAGTGTAGCTTTTCATCTGAGTAGACCATTTCTTATTGTTGGCAAGGAATTTGAGCCTAAAGGTGAGGGAGATCAGCAAGACAATGAAGAGTTGGGGAAGCTGTTGGCTTATTGAGGTATGACACATTTGTTATCATGGAGGACAAAGAGATGCAGATGGTATATGATGTGAGGGAGTTGTGGTTAAGAGGGATTTTTTTTCGGCGGTTTGAAGGTTGATGAATGAGAAAGTGGTTGCTTGTTTGTATATAGTGAGTAGTGAGTGGGTGATGTGTAGAAAATATGTTGTGTCATTTCTTATGTTTTCTTTATTATTTGTCATTTTTATGCTTTTTCGTGATATATCTGTATATGCAGTTTACATGTAAGAAGACAACATTGGGTATCATCAGGAGCAAAAATAGATGCTAAGTCTTGGACTGGTGCCTCCCCCCGCGCCCCCCACATCACAAACAAAAATCCTGGAAAGTAGACACCCAATTAGGTGCATAAGCGCCCAATTGAGCGCCTGGGTGTCCGAAGAAGATCGATCTAGCTTGCGTGAATGCCAGAGGAGCTGGAAACCCAATGCCTGTTGCTAGCGCCTAGGTGCCTAGGTGTCTTAAGAGAAGTTTCCTATGCGCTTGAGACCAAGGAGGTGAAAACCCAATGCTCGAAGGATTGGAGGATATTGGGAGTGGGTGTCTACGAGTATTTTAGATAGTTTAGTGAGCGTGTTTACTGCATTGTAAGAGAGAACTAATCCAGTCGAGATACTTGTAAGAGGAAGGATTACGTTGGAACAAAAGAATTATTATTGGGTTTGATTGTTCTTCTTTGTAAACACTTTTTCCTTTTGATTTCAATGAAATTTACTTGGTTTTCTCTCAACATGTTTAGGAACTAATTTCTCTATACTTCTTTGATTTGGATTTGTGATGAATTGTATTCTATTCATGTGATTTCTTTGAGATTATTTGGGATTTAATTGCATTTTGGTGTGTTTTTTTTAACAATTTAGTTTTAATTTGAACTAATTGAAATGTTAAAACTCCATGTGATCTTGGATTACTTACCGTAGACTAGAAGAACGAGTAGAATAACACTCAATCACATAGTGGGATAAGAGTATTATTAGTAGGAGATCGCAATATAATAGGAGACTAAAAAGATTCCTTGGGAAACTTTGTTTGGTTAAGAAAACTTAATTGTAATAAAAGTTTCCACCACTTAATGTTTACTGGAGTAAGGAGTATTTGTGATACAAGAGGAGAAAGACAAAACCAGAAAAAATCAAATTTTATTAATAAGAAAAGAGGGTTACAACATACATAAACTGGAAATAACATTACCAAAACACCAACGCACAAACAAACATCTCAAGAGTGTATCCCAAGGGTGGTGGGAAAGGTGGGGTAGTAGCTGGGAGCAACGAAACAACAGTTGGAACTGCTGGCTGCAAGGAAAAGTGGAGGGGAAAGGGTGGGGAAAGAGTGGGATAACAAGTTATTGCAGCATAAACGGGGTTGACAGCGTAAGGGGAAGCGGTTGGGGATAGTCGGCGGCTAAGGCAAGTGGAGGAGATGGAGTAGGGAAGATGAAAGAAGAGATACAATCAACACCTCAGAGTAGGATACATCGAAGCACTACCACCTCCTCAGATACAACCCTAGAATAGGGAAAAAGATTCCACACAGGAAATCTGAAATCAATTCACAACAAAAACTACCATAACTCTCTGAAAACAACAATATATAGACTCCCATTGATGAAGGCAGGGAAATAACTAAAGAAGGAAACTTCCTACACGAAAGGAAGAGGCGGGGAGGTAAGAAAATCCAGAAATAGCCATTAAAATACTTCTATACGAAGAAGCAGAACTGGAAGATGGACAAAGGCGCGGAAGGCCGCTCGCCTCGTGAGGAGGCTCGCTCGGGCCGCTTGGCTCGGGAACCCCTTGGACCGGTCTCCAGTGTTCATCGGGGCCGGTCTATTGTTCTAGCTCATGCGAGAGCCTTCCTGCACCAACGTCCTGTTCACGCGGGTTTCTTCGCACCCGCGTTAATTTGCTCTAATTGTCAAATTTAGAATGAAAATTCAGAGGAAGAATATTAAGGATTCACAAAATTCAAGTCAAGTGAGCATGATTCTCACCATAGAAAGATAACCTTGTAGATTTAGGATTTTACAAAATTAGGATTTTAGAAATTTTTTAAAATTTCACAAACTTTCAACCTTTCAAACTAGGATTAGTAGACTAGAATTTTCACATTTTTTGAAAATTGACTCGTTCTCTGTGGGATATAAGGACTCTTCAATCTATATACAACTTGATCTACATCTTTACTTTCTTGGTCTACATGGGCTTTAGAGGGAAATCTCGAGACGACGAAAGCATGTGATCCTTCTTGTATTTATCAACGGTCATTTTTCATTCAATCAAATTTATACCCATATTAACTAAATCGGAGCCTAAAATGAGCTAAAGTGGACTCCTTAATCAAGGGTGCCCTCTTGTGATTTTGAAGGTTAAATTAATGATGAATTTGCACCCATATTGATCTAAATAAAGCTTAAACTATAATCATAAGAAATTTGGCTAAAATAAATTCAACCTTTGTCAAGAAAAATTACTCCTGGGTTCTTATGCTTTTAGCAGGTCTCTGGAATTGGTGCTTTCTTGAGCCATCGTAGCATAAAAATTAGAGTAGTTAACTATAGCTTTCTTTTTAGCTCTGTCATCCTCTAGAGATACGTGAACAATATATAACTCTTTACTGGTTCTTGTACCACACATCTAGCTTGAATGTTCTAGAATATAAAGCTAACCTTTTATCACAATGGAGGTAGATTTGTTAAAATATTCATGAAATTTCTAAAATAGAAAAACTTGCTTTGCACATGGCGAAAAACTTTAACATATTTCCTTTCTTAGGAATTTTTAACTTTACATAGCTATTTGTGTTTTCCCAGTTGAATATGTAACCGCTTTTTGTACATTTAGATGCATTTATCAGTGAATGCGATCATATTCATGTGTGCATTTTGTAAAACTTTTATGCACTTTTTTATTTTTCGGACTAGTGAAAGATTATAAACAATGGCTATGCAGTTCTCAAAAGCTTGTTGTTCAGCATGATTTAGAAGAAACCTTGGTTTGCTCTAGCATTCAAGGGCATGAAACCAGATCTGGGGATCTACTACCTAAAAATTATAAATCAGCAGGTGTTGTTGAGTCTATGATGCTATTGCATTCATTTCAGAATATGCATTCTCCAATCATTCAGGTTTTGGCGACATCTTTTTCTCTGTTCATTCTCACCTTCTTAATAGCGTTTCATTGACCTACAATTTGAATGGTCCTTATTTGGCTAATGTTTAGGATGCGCCACCTATGACAGAAGATATGCATGAAGAGAGACTCCGTGCAGCTGAAGTATTTGGAAATTTATCAGTGAGTTTATTTTTTTTTTCATATTATTTTAAGTTAGAAATGTCATGAGATTCAGACTGTTGTAGTATCCAGAGATTCATTGCTGGAATTGGACTTGTTTTACATAAATTTTTTATATTAAATAAATTTGACACCCTGAATTTTATTATTTATTTATTTCTTTGGTCAGGTTTTATGAATTGAATGGAATATCAGCTTGGTACTTTTGTATTGAAAATGTTCAAGTTGGTTTTATATATTTCCTTATGTTGTAACTTGTGTCCATTCTATGATCTTTCATGTTTTCCATGCAAAAATAGATATTGAGAATTAAAAAAAAAAAAAAAACTTTACTCATCATTGCCAATTTCAAAGGGCTGTAGCTCTAATGTTGGCCCCACCTCTCTCTCTCCCTCTCCTCTTCCCAGGGAGTTTACCTTCGTTAAAACTTTATTGTAGAAAAAGATGATAAAATTGACTTATATGATACATTATGAAAAAATACCACTGATTCGGATATTTGTCAGTACCATTAAATTGCGGTGATACTTCCTGGAAATTTCACATTTAGAGCATGAATTCACTGTTTCATATGTGCTTTAGTTGTCAAAAACATTTATCTTTTTGTTTGAACAAAGCCTCTGCCTTCCTAATCACTAATATTAGCAATGTATTAGCATCTGACTTGTTTTATTATTTCTTATTTTGTTGTTTTTATGTGAATTAAGTTCAACTGATTCTTCAAATTTTTTAATATCATTCATGAGTTATGAACGCAAACTAGTAGCTATTTTTTAAATGTGCCGCATTTTCTTTTTTTTTTCCCGCTTGAACTACCGTGAAATGATAAAATAAAGGTCAGTGCTTGCCAACCCGTTAGCAATCCTCAAGAAATAGTCTCTAAAAGTATTCTTGAGCAAAATGTTGATCATATCTACTGCCTTCATATATCATGTTGATCTTCGGAATGTTTAATTGTTGGGGCATTTACGTACATACCACTCAATTTGTATGTATTTGCATATCTAACACCTAAACTCTGCTTTTTACATTTATGCAACCCAAAATTTTCACATCACATAAAAAATACCACTATTTGAACTGTTAAAAACTGAAATACTCCTTTTCATTCAGAGGTAAGGTGGCATATATGTAAAAATTGAAGTTTAGGTGTTAGATATGTAAACATATATGAATTGAGTGGTATTTATGTAAATCTTCTTTTCATTGTTTGCTTGTTTTTTCTTTTGATTTGTCCTGAAAATGTAATAGAACGCAAGCTAAAAGATTTACTAATTTTTATTCATGTAGAGCTTATCAGGTCAACTGGAAAGAGATATATTATCTTCAGGTATAATACGCAGCACCGACTTTGGTTTTATTTTTCAGGCTTACTTTTCATTGAGATATTTTACTTGCTGACTAGGTGAAGTTGATAACAGGTTTGCCAGTACTGTAATAATAAAACTGCTTCTTGGATGCCAATGACCTATCTTCTCTCTGTTTTTTTTTCTAATTTTTTGGCAATTTCTCTCTTTCTTCTATTTCCATTTTAAATAAAATGGATGAAGCAAGGCATTTTTCTGATTCTGATCTATAACAAATTTAAACAGTTTTTTATTATGGTAAGAAATTCTGTTTTCCAATACTTCACCTATTTTTATATTGATTTTGGCGGTGGGTTTCTCTAGTTTGGGGAAAGAAAAAAGATATATCAACTGTCATAATTTCTTGCCTCCTACCATTATTTTTTTTAGGAGTAAAGTGTCAAAATAATCTCCTGAATGTTTACATGGGTCATTTTAGTCCCAGATTCTATAATAGTGTCAAATTAGTCACCAAACTCTTTAAATTGGGGCTGGAATAATCCTCTGTGGAGACTACTTCAGCCCATATTAAAATAACCCGGGGACTAAATTGATACTTTTATAGAATCTGGGACTAACATGTCCCCTTGCAAAAAGTTAAGGGATTATTTTGGTTCTTTTCTCTTTTGTTTATACAAGAAATTTAGGCCTTGCCATGTTATCATCCTTACTTGATAAGGCCTTTGTGTCGTATCTTAGTACAGAAACTTCTCTTTTGTTGGTTTTGCGAATAGGCATTGCGCACTATAAGCTATTCAACTCATCTGTATATAGTATTGCTTTGTATATGGTGTGTGTAGATTCACACACAATAGCTAATTCAGCAAGAATTTTAGCTTTTTCCTTGACAGTCAGTATTGTCCTTTATGTATCAGTAGTCACAGCTTTTGAATTTCTGTATTTTTTTTTTCATTTTTTTATTTTATGGCTTTTATTTAGGAAAATTTACATACATACCACTCAATTCCTATGTATTTACATATCTAGCACTTAAACTCAATTTTTACATATATGCCACCTTACATATGCATGAAAAGGCGTATTTTCTTTTTTAAAAAATTAAAATTTGTGGCATTTTTTATGTCATATGAATGATTTGGGATGCTATAAATGTAAAAAACAAACTTTAGGTGTTAGATATGTAAATATATTAGAAATTGGTGTTATGTATGTAAATGCCACTTTTTTATTTAAACTCCAAACTTTATTTTTGCTATAATTCTTTTGATTTATTTTTTTTTCCATTTATTTTTTGATATTTCTTAGATATGTCTGCTTTCAAAGCTGCAAACCCGGATTCTGTCTTTGAAGATTTTATTCGCTGGCACTCACCCGGTGACTGGGAGAGTGATGAAACTGAGGATAAGTCTATGCAACACACGGCCAAATCCACAAAGCCCAATTGGCCTCCTAAAGGAAGGCTCTCTCAGCGCATGGCCGAACATGGAAGTTCGTGGCGGCAAATTTGGAATACTTCACCTGCAATGCCTTCGTCCGAACAGAGGCCTCTTCTTGATCCTATTCGTGAAGCGGAGAAGTTATCCTACCTGATAAATGCTTTGTCATTTTGACTTTTGTTTTAAAGAAGGTGCCTTCACATACATGCGACCCAATTCTTATGTATGAACATATCTAACACCTAAACTTTGCTTTTACATGTTTATACCACCAAAATATTTCATATCACACCAAAAAAACCACCATTTTAATTTTTAAAAGGTGAAATACACATAAAAGGTGAAATACACAAAAGGTGAAATACACATTTTCATGCATAGGTAATGTGGTATGTATGTAAAAATTGAAGTTTAGGTATTAGATATGTAAATATGTAAGAATTGAGTGGTACGTATGTAAATCTTTCTTTAAACTAAAATAGCTTTGCCTTAAAATCCTTCAAGTAAAATTCATTCAAAAAAAATTCAAGCTTCATTTTTGGTCATTTGGGTTGGCATGGATAAATTCGATTTGCTGCTTGAATCTCAATCACATTGAAACACCTAGTGATCTATGTTATTAATGCCTATTTGTTAACTTTCTTTATATATTTTAGTTCGGTGTTTGCGTTTTTTTAATGCTCGGCAATTGTCATGACATTATATATTATTACTTCTATTAAATTTTTATTAATTGCAACTAGAAAAACAAGTAAAAAAAAGAAAGTTCTCTGATGTATATATTTATGTTAAAAAAGTATAAGAATGATGCCTTACTTGGGCTCTGTCCCCAAATTATTACTATTAGAATTATGCAGAGATTTGTATTAACTGCAATGATTTGTATTAAATTCTGTTTTTTTTCTTTCCTATTTTTTTGTATTCTATTTTTATTTCCTTTCCTATTTCTCTTTATTATGTTTTTATTACTTTCCTTGTGAGTGTGTATATATACCCCTCCTTTCTATCAATAAAATTCAAGTTATTCTAGGCACAAATTCAACATGTATTAGAGCTATGACTCCAACCCTAGAGGTTCCACCCTAGCCGCCGGCCACCTATAGGTTTTCTCTAGCAGAATTCTTGCCGGTCCTCTTGCAGTCAGGACCTTCCAGTCACCGATCCTTCCAGCCGACCCATGTCTCTTCTTGGTTCCGTTGATCCTTCCAACAAGCCCTGTGTTTTTTCCTGCCGTTAGGAACTTCCAGCCGCTCCTCAGTCGGCCTCCCTACAGGCCTATCTGCCAGATTCAATATTTTTTTTTTTTTCTGAAGTGAGGCCTCCCTGCAAGGCCTTCCAAATGCCTGTTTTTCCTCAGCCGCTGGCTATCCTTCTACGGACCAGTTCTCTCTCTAGCCTTTTTGATCTACCCGGTTGTTGGTTCTATGAGCCTTTTTAAGCCGTTGGACATCCCTTGTCGGTCTTCCTATGTCTCGGCAACCCAACACCACTTTTGGCTTTGTTAAAAGTACGGCGGATTCCTCTACCACCGAACCTCCTAATGCCTACATGCTTGAGTCCACTAAAGGATCTTCACCGACCTCAATCTCTCTACAAACATGAGGACCAGAAATTAACTTGTACTTCTTGATCATAACTCATAAACTAAACGACAACACTTTCTCCAATGGTCCCAAGCATTGTTTTTGAATTTCATGATCCTGCCATGACTAATCAACTCCATGGGAATGTCAATTGGATGTAGGAAGCTCTGGCCAACTTTTTGAGGTGTTTAAGAAGATAGGAGAGGCAAAACAAGAATCAAAGGCCGTGAGCCAGTACTACAATGATCCAGTTGCACTATGGATGGAATACAATCTATACTACGTCTACACTTGGGATATTACGGCCGACCTCTCTCTCTTCCAGAATATTGCAGAAAAGGAACGCACGTTCCCATTTCTGGCAAGCCTCATCAAAGACCTTGATGATGTCCGGGGATGTATTTTTGGTCGGGATCCTCTACCTTCTGCTTGCGTTGCTTGTACCGAGATTCACCGTAAAGAAAGCCGGAGACTTGCCATGCTCGATATCTCCACTCCTTCCACTGAATTGTTAGCCTTGGTCTCTAAAGCGCTTAGTCCTCTTTCATACCACCTTGGACAGATCACCAACGTGTGACTACTGTTATAAACTCAACCGCACTTGTGACAAGTATTGGAAGCTCCATGGAAAACCAATACACAAATTTTCGACCAAAACCTCTACTGCAAAGTGTCTCACTACGACATTAGATTCTACCACGGTTCATCTAGCTCCTACCCGAAAAATTTCAGAATCTTTCGACACACTGAAAAGTTAGATAAATCAATTGATCAAACTTGTTGGAGCCAATCAGTTCTCTACTGGTTCATTGATCTCCCATGTTCGACAAGGTATTATTCCTATGACACTCACATCTTTTACCTCATTTAGTCCGTGAATCATTGATTCAGGTGTCACGAACCACATGACTGGACACTCGGAAGCTTTCTAGACAAACTACTCATGCTCTGGGAAAGATTCGGTCAGAATTGTGGACAACTCATGTAGTTCCATTATAGGTAAAGGGTCGGAATTCTAACGACCGGTCTAACATTGGAATATGTGTTATATTTTCCACTATTAAAATGTAACAGTTTATCTGTTATTAAGTCGACGGATGACATTGATTGTGTTGTTTATTTCTCTCTTGATGTATTTGTCTTTCAGGATCGTCGTTTGAGGAGGATGGTTGAAACTGCTAAGCAAGTAGCTGGATTACTACTTTTAAAAGGAAAGAACAGAGAACGAGGACTCACCACTCAGTAGTTGTAGTTTATCTTACGTCACTGTATGTCCCATTATGTTGTTGCATTGTCGTTTAGGTCATCCTATTTTCTTGTATTCAAAAAAATTTGTATCTATTGATGTTTACCAATAAAATTTTTTTTAATTTCAATTGTGAAACATGTCAGTTAGCTAAATATCATCAAGTTCATTACTCACCTCATACTTACACATCTTTCACTCTTGTTTCACTCATTCACAGTAACGCATGAGGACCCTCTCATACTTTCAGCTACCCTAATTAACAGTGATTTCTTATCTTGATTGATGATTACACTCTAATGACACAAGTATATATTTTAAAAGACAATTCGAAAGTTGTTGTCAACTTCCAAAACTTCTACATCTTCATTTTGACCCAATTCAAAACCCAAATTTAAGTCCTGCGAACCAACAATGGTTGTGAATTTCTTAATTTTATTTTAAGTGTATTCTTGATAAGTAAGGACATTCTCTACCATAGCTCGTGCATGGATGCTCCTCAACAAAATGTGTTAGCCGAGAAGAGAAATCGACATCTCCTTGATGTTGCTTGCTTCATTATGTTCAGTCTAATGACCCACAACATTTTTGGAGTGATGTTATACTGACTGCTATCTATCTCATAAATAAAATCTCTTATAAAATTTACAACTTCCAAACCTCTTTATCCATCTTGATATCATACTTTTCTGCCAATCGGATTTTCACTCATGTCTCCTTTTTTGAAAGTATTCCCTATTTTTCTAATTTGGCCTTAAGTGAGGGGGAGTTAGTGTTTTTGTACACAGTTCCTTATCCTACATATGGACGTTCCCCCCATTATTCTTGCCACCAAAGAAAACTCGGTTCCTGTAGTTCCACCATCTCCTCCCACTCTTTGTGTCTACACTTAGTGCACTTGTCTCGATGCACCTATTTTGGAGCATGCTACCTCCTTGCAGGACCTTGAATCTACCCTATGCAACATCCCTATCACAACTACTGCAAATGAGGAGGTGAGTTCTCCAAGTGATACATCAAAAAAATGTGCAATTAATATGTATACATTTTATGCTTAAATTTGGTGATATTACACTTTAAAGTACATTTTCATGTTTTGTTGCAAGTATATTGATTTTAGGCATTTGGAGCAAAAAAAACAAAATGAAGAAATTTAGAGTAAAAATGCAATTTTCAGCATATTGGCGCCAGAGGCACTAGAAGCGCAAGAATCCATAGAGGAGCGTGAAACTCCAGTAAGCAGGCGCCAACGACTGATTTAGACGAATTGTTGGCGGTTATTAACTATTTTTTAGATGTTTTAGAAGGCTCCAAGTAATTCAAACGTCCTATGAAGTGATTTAATACATCTAGACACTTTGGAATGGCTTCTGAATGAAGAGATGTTTTTTGGTAGAAGAGATTTATCTCTTGGTGTGAAGAGGTGTGTCTCTTGGGAAAAAATAGAGAATTTTTGAAGAGGGGCGGGCGCCACTCTTAAGAGGTCTGGGGAAGTTTTGTGAGAGGGTGGCGTGTAGTGTCTTTGGGGTAGAGTTAGATTTTGGAGAGGATTTTCTTGTAGAGTTGTAAGAGGAAAGAGAATATGAGAGATTTCTTCTTCATTACATTTCTAAGAAAGAATTAAGTGTGATTGTAAAGAGGGAAAGTACTTAAAGGGAACTTTAAGAGATTTGTTTGAGGAGTGTAAGATAAGTCATGTTCTTTCCTTTATTTGTTTTGTAAACTTGTTTTTATATATAATTCATGTTTTATCGTATCATTCTTATGAATTCTGAGTAGTTTTCTTTATCATTCTCCCTACAATGAGATATGGTTTTGTGAATAATTAATATTGTTGTGAAAGGTTTTAAATGTCAATAAATTGTAATGATTTGAACTTTAATTTTCATTTATTTTTCGATCTGGTTAATTGAAATGTTAAAATTTGTTGAAAAACATAAAGTTCGAAAGGGCTATGCTTTCTACAACAAGGTAAGAGTCACATTCAATTTCATGGATGAGAATGTAGTCCATGGGGTTGAGTACAAATTAATAGAGAAATATATTTTGATGGACGTAGAATTGGAGATTTTAGGATGACAAACTAAAATCCTCAATTTTGTCTTGTTGCTTGTAAACTAAAGCGAGATTGTTAGCCCTCAGAGGAAAGAGAAGTGAGAGCTCTTGAGTAGGAGTCAGTGTCCTCTTAAGTCTAACCAAGGATTTAGGAATCAAACTCTAGATTGACCAATTTTTTTTTTATGCACTTCACAGATGCAAAATAATATGATTGCTCATATTTGACACAATGCAATTTTATATATAATTTTAAATGATTTTGATTACTTCACTAACCATAAACTTATTGTAAAGGGGAATGATGCTTTCTTTAATTTGAGCTCTTTATTACAAAATTTTGTTTAATCTTAGTAAATTTAATTTTTAAGTTTAGAAAATAGCTTAGTTATCTTAGTTCTTTTAACTACATTTCCATTAGCATACATTAGACTTACTTTCAACCTGTTTTTCTTACTTAGGTTTTTATAATTTGAATATTGTATTTTACGTTATAACCATAAGAATTTCCAACTTTCTGTGGGATCGATACTGAGAACTTCATTAGAGTTCTTTATTACTTGAGCGATACATATACTTGCGTAATTATTAGGTTTGGCAGCTTAAAGATTTTAAAATATAAAACTATTTTTACTTAAGTGATTTTTATTGTGATTGATCTGCATATTTACTAATTGTGTGGTCGTGTGCGTTGTAGTATTGAAAGATACAACGCATTCCAAAAACCTGCACCACTAAGCGAGGTATGCAATTAAAATGCTCCCTCTCTTCCATGGCAAAATATGTCTCTTTCGCAGTTTATCTCCGACCTATAGGGCATTTGCTACTACCCTGATAGATCATTAAATCTCAGCTACCATTGAGGCGGCGTTAGCAGATTCTGCTGGAAGGCTGCAGTGATGGAGGAGATGAATGCCCTTCGACGGAACCATACGTGGGACAACATAGATATTCTTTGGGGAAAGAAAGCAGTAGGATGTTAATGGATTTTTGAATGCAACAAAGCTCTATGAAGTTGAATTTAAGTTCAACTTTGATGAGTTCTTTGAATGCAACAAAGCACGGTTGGTTGCCAAAGGGTACTCATAGACCTACGGAGTTGATTATGAGGAGATATTTGCTTCGATGGCTAAGTTAAGCACCATTCGGGTCATGTTGTCTCTTGCGGTGAATCTAGATTGACCTTTATTCCAGCTTGATGTGAGGAATGCATTCCTGAACAGTGATCTCATAGAGGAGGTGTACATGTCCATTTCCTGAGGCTTTGAATCTACTGCCTCCCAAGGGCAAGTGTGACAGCTGCAATGTTTCTCTATGGACTAAAGCAATCCTCACGAGCCTGGTTTGACAAATTCACAAAGGTGGTAGTGGGCTATGGTTTTACTTGGGCTCAATCGGATCACACTATCTTCTTCCGACATTAATTCAATGGCCAAATTGTTATCCTTATCATTTATATGACGATGTTATGTTCACTGTTAATGATCACCAGCATTGGAATCTTTGAAAGACCTTTTAGTTACATTCTTTGAAATGAATGACTTGGGATTTCTTTGGTGCTTCTTGGGCATGGAAGTTGCTTGGTCATCTCGGGGGATTTGCTTATCTCAGCGCAAATGTGTACTTGAACTGTTAAAAGAGAACAATCTTCTTCTGTGCAAATCGGTGGTTGTCTCGATGAGTCCCAATGAAAAATTAATTGATGTTTCCGATAATGTTCCTATGAACAAGAATTACTACTAACGTCTTGTGGGAAAACTCATCTACCTCACTCATACACGCTCCAACATATGCCACAGAGTTGGTATATTAAGTGTATTCATACATGACCCTTATGAGCTCCATCTCCAAGTTATCTACCAGATTTTTCTTTATTTAAAAGGCACATCGGGCTCAGGTTCGCTTTTCTCCCTACACAACTCTCGTTTTACTATTGTTTACACAGACGCTGATTGGGTCGGTTTGGTCAATAACCGACGATCTACCATCGGGTTCTGCTCATTTGTGTAGGAAAATCTCGTCACATGAAAAAGTAAAGGGTAGTCGGTAGTTGCCCGAAACAGTTTTAAAGCTGAATTCCGGTCCATGTTCTTGGAATTTCTGAAGCTCTCTGGTTACTCATCATGCTCCACGAATTACATATGCAGACCTCAGTCCCTCTACAATTGTTATGTGACAATAAGGTTGTCATCAGCATTGCTCACAACCCGGTCCAGCATGATTGTACCAAACACGTGAAGATTGACAAACACTTCATTAAGGAAAACCTCCCGGGAAAATTTGCATTCTTTTTGTGTCCTCCAGTAGCCAACTAGTAGATATACTAAGAATCTTTATCGGCAACTGTTTGATGACTTCAAATCCAAGTTGAACATAACTGACATCTATGCTTTAACTTTAGGGGGAGTATTAAAATTATGCTGAGGTTTGTATTAAATGCAGGGTTTTGTATTAATTTATGTATTATTCATTTCTTATTTCTCTGTATTCTGTTTTTACTTTATTTCTTATTTCTCTTTATTTTGTTTTTATTACTTTCCTTGTGAGTGCCTTTGTAGTTGGTGATTAAAATCTTTTTCTGTCAAGAAAATTCAAGAAAATTGCTCACAACCCCCCTTTTCTGTCAAGAAAATTCAAGCTGCTCGAGTAAAAAATCATTAAAATCTTTGATACCAATTGATATATGCTATGACACCCAGGATGTGGGTGAATTGGGTAAAGATCTCTCTTTTTTGAATTCAAAATTCTTGATTTTTAATATTATAGAAAACTTAAATTATAAAGTCATAAATACTTTTAATTAAAGCAAATAAAAGTAACCAAGCAGATAAAATAATGCAAAAATAAAAAACAGGAGACAATATTTTACGTAGTTCGGCCAAACCCAAAACTAGTCTTCATTCACACCTAGTCACCCTTGACTAGGAATTCCACTAATCAGATGAAAATTACAACCATTCTCCCGTACCCTCATACACCGGGCAAATACAATCCCAAACACAGTACTCTTCTATACTGGGCAAGCATAACCTCAAACACCAAGCTTTCTTACACCGGGCAAGCTTTCCCTAAATACAATGAGATAGTAAAATAAAAAAATATATATATTACAATCAACTAATCTCGCTCACTCTTAATTTTAAAAACATTTTCACTCAACCCAAGTTAAAATTAATTAAAAAGACAAATACAATAGAAGCTCAAGTTGATATAAAGTTTGTGAGAGTACTTATATGAAGTGCATAATGAAACAAAGACACAGCAATTGAAACATAAATATAATCTTTCCAACACAAATGATTTCAGGAGCTTGCACTTTTAAAGTTGATTAAACAATCATGTAATATTCTCAATTAAGATTTGAAATTCACTTGAGAAGTTATCAAGAGCAAACTTTTAAATCGCTTACTATATTATGTTGCAAACACTCCAACCATCAAGGTAAGAATGAGGAAATAATTGAAAAATAAATATTTGATATGAGATTGAGGAACCAGCGTTTAAAGAAATTTCTCCAAGCAATCTTCTCCCTATCAAAATATAGCCAAAAACAAGAACAAAACAAAATTAGAGTTTTTGCACACAAAAAAAGCTTCAAACCTTTAACCAAAGATGTTTTGCTTGAGGTGAACTTAGGATTTTTGGCCAAAGTTAGAGTTTAAAGATTTGGCCAAAACGAAGAAGTTTGAAAGGAGATTTGAGCAAGGAAAGAATTTGAAATGATTCAAGAAAAAGTAAATTTAGGCTAACTTGTTTGCTAAATGATTTGAATTTATTAAAAAGCTGTAATGTGGCCTGAAATTCGTCCAAAGATAGTTTCATAGGATGAAAACACAATAGGAATCAAAATAAACAAATTTAATTGCATTTTGGGCCATTTACGTATATATCATACAATTCTTATGTATTTACATATTTAACAACTAAGCATTCATGTGTACATGCCTACCGCTCAATGCTTTAACATCACATCAAAAATACCACAATCACTATCTTTTTCAAAGTGAAATACACCTTTTTATGAATAAGTTTATGACATCAACATGTTATAAATGCAACTATCAAACTTTGGATGTTAGATATGTGAATGCATAAGATTGTGTAGTGTATATTTTTTGTATAGGATAGGACAGCAGCAAAGTACACTGATGATTTAACCAAGCGAAATAGACCTGAAAATTATGTTGGATGAAATACTAACCTATCTAAATAAAATGAAAAAAGTTTCATATCATTCATTTCATTCCAATTAGTAATGTTAAATGGTTCTTTTGTGTAAATCAATATCTCTACATCTTAGTATTTCTGCAACTTATTTTGATTTTGTTTCCATGTGCAGATACTTCATTACCTCGAAACCTTGAAGCCACATCAACTGCTTGAACAAATGGTCTGTACCGCATTCGGAGCATCAGCTGACACATTGAGTCAGACCAAATTTGGTGACTTAAGACTACTAAAAGCAAAAATTGACCAACTCTACAGTACTCTATCATCCACATTGAAGTCATTGCAAGGTATTTTTGTATATTTTATGCTCAAGCAGAAACTGATAGATATGTTCTTATATTTTTGTTCGCAGTTTTAAGTTTGATGGAAACAAATATGCGGAATGTAAAATATTTTCTTTTTAACATAATTAGTAGTTTTCAAATGTAGAAGTTATCGAGAGTAACCTAGCATCTATTATATAAATAAACGGGCAAGATCCCTATGAAATACATAAAAAATTTCAAATTATTTCTCCTCTTTTCTCTAAATTAGAGATCTAAGGAAAAAGAACCCTCGAGTATTTTTCTGTTGTTTTTTATTCCAGCAAACCAAAAAATTCCTCTCGACTTACCATTCTTCTGCCTCCTTGCCCCCATGACCTTTGCCTTTGCTTCACTACGTACAACCACCAACTTTCAAGAGAAAAATTCTTGAATTCTTTAAGGAAAATGTCTTTGGTATCAAAAATTATTTATCAATCAGTTTTTTCTTATCAAACTCTATCAATGTACACCTCTACATCCTTTGTCTGATTTCTTGAACAGTAACCCTCTGCCAAGGGTCTTCTTTAGAAATCTAAATATTTTATAAATCATCTCTAAATTTTCTTCATTCAGTCTATTCATATGTTTTCTCACAATATTAAAAGCGTAAGCAATATCTGGTATAGTGTGTGACAGGTAAATAAACTTACCCGTCAATCTCTAGTATCAATTTTTTTTCGCTAGTGTCTTTTCACCTATTGAATGTAACATTTCGTTGAAATTCATAGGAGTCTCAACAGTTTTGCAGCCTAGCATTCTTGTTTCTTTTAGTAGGTCTAGGATTTAGTGTCTCTGTGATATTACAATACTCATCTTAAACCTGGCCACTTCCATGTCCAGAAAGAATCCTTAATTTCAAATTCAACAGTAAAGACCTCCTTAATTTTCCCAATCTCAGGTTGGATGTTCTTAACTGGTGGAACCTAAGAGATGGGATGGTTAGAAAGAAGAAGAATATGTTGTGATCTCTGGATCGGTTTGGATTTCCAAAATAATTTCCTAAGTTCTATATTCACCTGTACTCTCCTCAATATTAAATTTAAGATAGTATGAAGCATACCAAAGGAAAATGCATTTGATGAATTTTGGGTCAAGCTATGTGTGGTTTGGTTGTAGAATGTGAATAGAAGAAACAATCAAATATTTTTAGAGGTAGATTGGATGAGAAAACTCTGAGATCGGGGTATTTTTCCATCACAATATCGAGAGGCTTGGAATCTAAGGACCTTGTTTGGCATTCTATTAATGTGATAGGCTACTCTGAGCACGACATCTCCCCAAAAACTTTTTGGGACATTGTGAGAAAGTATTATAGACCTACTTAATTCGAGGAGATGTCTATTCTTCCTTATAGTTATTTAATTTTGATGTGGAGTTTCAATATAGGAACTCACATGGATAAGACCCTTTTTTGCAATCTCGGGTCCAAGGATAAAGTTGAGTTATTGCTTTGCATTATTGATTTTGAGAATCTAAATTTTGCATTAAAATTGAGTAGAAAAAATGTTATGGAAGGAATGAAAGATTTGTGTTTCAAATTTTTTCTTCATGAGGAATATTGAACTGGTTCTAGCTCGATCATCAATAAAGAAGACAAACAATTTGGCTCCATTTATTGTTTTCAATTTTGATGGGCCTCAAATATCACTGTAAATGATAAAGAAATGATGTGAGGGTTTGTACTGAGAAAGAAGATACACATCAAAAGTATGCTTAGCCAATTAGCATGTTTCACACTGATAAAACCCTTACTTTTTATTAATAAAAATACAATGTTATAACTTTACAACATAATTAAATTGAAATGACCCAAACGACGAAGCTATAGTAAACCTTGACTTTCAACAGACTCGAGCACAAAGAAGTCGAGACTAAGTGATGAGGATGGTGAAGGAGAAACTTGTGTGTTAAGAGAATAATTTTTCTTAAGCAGGTATGAATCTTGATGCAATTTAGCACTACATATCACCTTTCGCTGATTCCACCACTTGAAATTCACAAGTGTTAGAATGAAATTTTGATAGCAAAGCAAACTCAAACCACAACAGAAATAATAATATTATTGTTGAATTTCAAATATTACAATGTGACTCATCAAAACAAGAAATAAACAACAACAAAACAACATGAACATAAAAACACAACACACTCCAATTAAGGGTTACGGAAAGATAAAATGTCTCTTCAGGGTTGAGCTACAACCGGAGCACCACCTGAACCCCTTGGAGACAGTCACCACCTCGAACGAGTTACAGTCAGAACACCTTCTAGCTGTCGGATATAGTCCCTGGAGGGGAAGAATGCCTCAAATGCAACACTCAGAAATCTGCACTCATCCAAATATCCTTCCCTAAGCCAAAATAGCCCCTCGAACGAGTTACAACCAGAGCACCTTCTTGTCGTCGGATACAACTTCCAGAGGGGAGGAATGTCTCAAAGACAACACTCAGAAATCTACACTCATCCAAATCTCCTTTCCTATGCGAAAACAACCCCTATATAAGAGGGACTATGACTTTTATTAAACAATGCTTTCAATTAGGAAATAGAATAAAAAAAGGAAGCAATATAATAGACAAGAATTTCTAATAGGGGATTTCATGAAAAAGTAAAGAAATAGAAAAGGCAGGCATAAAATAGGTAGAAAATAAAATAAGAGAATTATAGAAAAGGAAGGAAGAGAGAGAAACGAAAAAGGAAATTGGAGGAAATTTGGGCTGCGGTACTGTAGCCTCTATAGTGTCGCGACCTGGAAAATGCTCCAGTGTCAAATTTACTAACACAATTCAAGGCATAAGTAAGTTTGTTATTTGAAAGTAAGTTACAATTTAATTGGGGAGCATATAACACAGAAGAGAGCTAAATAAATTTGGAGATTTTCTTTTTTCATTTCTCAACAATCCTGGAGTGAGATCCACTAGCAAGTTGAAGAAATTGGAGCCGATGAACTCCTTGTAGTTGGTGAGAGCATGAATGTCTCTATTCATGTGATTAAAAGCACCTGAATCTATTATCCAAGATTGAAACTTTCCGTTGCAGGTGAGATAAGGTGGACAAAATGTATTGGTGTATTATCAAGCTGACAAACCACTTAGTTGTGCTCGGAAAAGGTTTTTTCAACACCTCTAGTTGTTCCTTGGTGAAGGACTAGGATTGGTCGACCCTTCTGAGGAGGTAGTAGCACGAGCTTTGTTGTCTTGGTTTTTCTTCCCCTTCCTAGGTTTTCAGTATGTAGTATTCCCATGTAATTTCTTGCAATATTCACAAAATTGGTGATTCTTCTTTGGCTTTGACTCATGGGAGGAGTTACTTGTGTATAAGGCGGAGCTTTGAGTGCTAGATGAATCCACACTTCCTGTCATCGTGAGCTTCTTCCTACTTTCTTCTATGGAGAGGCTTCATTCTCATGATTCTTCCCCTGACCTCTTCTTTGTTTTTATTTAGATTCAATAAGAACCTGATCATCCTTTTCTTCTCCATTATTGTTTTATACAACATAGCTTCTTAAGAAAACTTCTATACATAAGCATAAAACTTATCTAACTATAACTTCTACTTTGTAACTGTGTTGAAGTATTGAGTAACACTTAACTCTTCTTGTCGAAGCTCATCCAGTTTTATTTTGATCTAAAATAATTTAGTATTTTTAGTACCGGAATATGTTTCACTAGCTACTTCTAAATGCCCTATGCTGTCTTGCCCTATGCTGTCTTATAAAACCTTCTAAATGCCCTATGCTGTCTTATAAAACAAAAAAAAAAAATCTTCAATATTTGTGGTCATAGAATTAATTAACCAATATATGACCGTATGATCATGAATCTACCATGAACTAAAATCAATGAGCTCAGGAACTGTGCCCTCTGATATGAGATGTTTCTCTTTTTTTTTTTTCCGCAAATGTACATAAACACCGATTGTGAGTATTAATTAGAGTTACAGCCTTTAAGTTTATGATTTGTGATAAAGTAAGAGAGTTTTGAGGTTGTTTGGACAGATTCTTAGTTTTTGATTCAGAACTAACCTATAGAAGAGCTAGATATCTTCATGTCGTATTTTTTTTTTCTATCTTTATATCGTACTTTGTCATAAGCCTTATGCATGTTTTGGGTTAGAAAGAATTTTCTGGTTGATTGTGTTTCTTACTTGAACTATGAACGACTGGAAGGCTGAGAAGGTTTTGCGGCTCCTCTAGTTGAAGACACCAAAGAGAGGACACTAATATGTTTGATTTTTGAGAAATTATGGGAGATTCGAGCTAGTTGGAAGCTGACGGGATCACAATGTACATGTCTCCTTTGTGTGTGCCTTTCATGATTAAACAATGCAATACAATCATGATAAATGGTTGCTAGGAAGCAAGGGTTCGAATCGCGTGCAGGGTGTAAAGACCAGATTGTGTCGTACTAGTTTCGTCATGTGTCTCTTCATGTGTGAGCAACACGATGATTCAAATCATGAAGGTGTTGATATAACCGAAGCCTGCAAGGAGTCTGACTGCAAGGAGAGGATTTGTTGGGGTCCGGCGTCTGTAGGGACAAGCTCTGACGAAGGAATGAGAGCTAGGGTTTGATACCATGAAGAAAGATGGAGATATTTTCTTATTCCTCAATCATCAAATTACAACTCCTCATAAAATAAGGAAAAGCTTGGGCAAACTTAATTACAACAGTTATAACTTATCAAAGATAAAATAACCGAACAAGGAAAGAAATACAATATAATAAAAAGAGAATAAAATTTAAATATGAAACTCGGAATTCCTCAACACCACACGAAAATGAATAAAATGTGGCTAGAAATCAATTACTATCAGTGTAACAAAATGAGATGTGATACGATGCTACTAACTTTTGTAGCAAGAGAAAGGAGTCGTGAATTTCTTGCTGGACTAACTAGTGAATTTGACCATGGTTTCATTCAATATATTGGAAAGCACTCCATTTCTTATCTAAATGAAGCCGTCTTTACTATCAGAAGCGTAGAAGCGATTTATAATTGTTAGAAACCCTACATTAGTGAGAATGTTGCTCTACTTGTACCAACATTGAATGCAAACAAAACCATGTGATGCCAGTCTAAACAGGGATCACCAACGTCCAATAACTGAGAAGTTATATTTTGCACTTGTTGTGAAAGGAAATGCAGAAGCCATATATTGGAAACTCCAAGGGAAGCCTCCATACAAGGAAAGAAAAACCTTGATTCCAAAATCACTCCAAACATGATCGAACACTTAATCATTGGAATAAAAGACTTCCATGGACATAGTCACATAAGAATAAAGTAAGAAGAAATGGAAAAACTGTACAACTTCGTGGGAGCATTTGAAAAACTTATTGGTATATGCTATTTGGTTCAATCAGTGAGTATTCTAATCATACATCTTATGCTTTTGAAATTATTTTAAAGAAAATGTGGATAATAAACTCAGGAGCAATTATTCATAAGACCAAACCTTCTGCAAAATTTTCTTTCTATACACCTTACAAAAGCAATAAAATAAGCGTAGCTAATGGAACCATTGCTGCTATTACAGGGATGAAATTTCATAGAACTCACACATACCCTCCCATTATTATCTATTCTACAACCATCAAATTTGTCAATGAACTTATTATCTATTCAAAAACTTACATTTGACATAAATAATATTATTGTATTTGTCCTACTTATTGCCTATTTCAAGATTAAATCATGGAGAAGATGACTGGACATGCTAAAGAACAAGAAATCTAATCTCGGGACACAAATAATAATTATCACATATCTTAGATTCATTTCACTGAAAATTTGGATACTAATGGGGTGCAAATTTGACTACATATTTAGATAGGTCTTTCATCTTTTACCTTAATTTATATTTCCTATATTATTTCTTAAAAGAAAAGTAAAGAGTTCTAGTGTTGGTAGCTTCATGGTCAAATGCCACATAATCTCTAACCGCTAAGCTAAGAAACCCCAATACTTGGATAATGTCATTTTTATATATAATTATTAAAGGGGCTAGATAATATGTTATTTTATAAATGATTATTCATGCATAATCAATTTTTTTTTTCTTCATGAAGCATAAATCTAATGTGAGTATAATTCTCCCTATGCTTCATAAAATAATAACAATAAGCATATTAAGTTTTATAATAAGAAGGAATATTCAAATCAAGCATAATCCTCTTTTCTCCATGAAAATAAAATTCATAAATTCCATGGTGCCAAAACCGCATTACAAAATTCGTTTGTAAAAAGAAAAAAATTATAGTGCCCTGGGCTTAATAATTACATCTTTACAAGTCATCTTCCCTGTTTTATAAAGTAAAACACTTGAGACGAATTTCTCATTATTTTTTTTTTCTCAAATGTACAACACTCATTGCTTCCATTAACAGCTTTTGAAACTATTGCCTATTTCCATCAAGACTATCAAAATACTGAAGTTTATCTGAGTGATAAAATCCATCATTCTAGGGTACTGATGTGTTATTATGTGGAGCATGATTGTCTCAATCAATTGTCAACTTAGAGCCCTCAATTTCACCAATCAGGCTCGACAGTGAGTTTTTCAGGGGTGTATAGTGGGGCAGCGACCCCTTGTATGGATTTGGGTGCTGCCTTTGAAATGGTACAGTGTCACTGTGACAGTGCTATTGTAGCATTATTGAGTAGCACTGCGACATTGCTTTGCAGCGCCATAGCGCTGCCCTGAGAGGAAACTTTGTGTTGAAACCTAAAAGTATGGCATCATAGCGTCATACTAGAGTGTCGCAATGCCACCATCGCAGCGCCACAACACTATATCATGACGTTTCAGCGCTACGACCCAATCAAGGGCAGTTTTGTGCAAGTTTTGATAGTTTTTCTTGCAGTTGAGCATGAAGATCGATAAAACGAGGCTTGGAGAGAGTCATTTGTGACTTTTCTGGTTTTTGTGTTCTAGGTATGAAGAGGCTTGAGTATGGTGTAATTTGTATAATTCTTCTTATTTTGCTTCCTAGTGGATTTCTTGGGGTGGTGTGGTTTCATGTTTTTTTTTCCCATTCTCGAGCTTTTTTATATTAAATTTTGTATTTTTTGTGTTTTCTTGCTTGTGCGCTTCTGTTTAAAGTTTTATTTCGGATCTCTTGTATCAATTTCCACAACTTACATCTCTCAACATGATCAACTGAATTTTTAAAATATAACCATTTCAGCCCCAAATGATTCATTTTTCGGACCAAATTATGAGATCACATATGTTGAAAATCAAGGATTTTGTAGTCGAGATTGTTTTCAGTGGAAACATTGGAATGAATACAACTTTGATTTTATCAAACTCGATATCTCGACCATCCAAAGGACCTAAATCATCACCATTGATATGCATGTATTTGGAAGGAAAGAAAGAAGCATCCAACAATGAACCAAAGCGTGCTCGAACATTCATATTCACACAGAATTAATCACTATGTAGCTAAGATATGTTCTGACATTGAAATTCAAACCCATCATTATCTTATCCTTTCTACAAAAATTCAAACATATGATGATATCAGCCTTTTTTATTGCACTAGGAAAAGAAACCTGAACTTGAATCCAACATCCGATAGTACAAAATTTTTCTATACTTGAACGCATCTACACCGAGAAAAAAAAGTTATTCAAGAGAACTGGAAGACACAATTTAGAAGTATATACTGATGTTGATTGGGCAGGATCACTCATAGATGGTTTTCTTCTATTTGTTATACTTTCTTTGGTGCGAATCGAATCACTCGGAGAAGCTAGAAAAAATCAACAATATGGAGATCTAGAGTTGAAGTTGAAGTTAAGGGAATGGCCCTACGAATTTCTGAATTATACTAGTACTTTGTTAGTTGATAGAACCACTAAAAAGAAATTAATTTTTTTTCATGGTTTTCTTCTATTCATGATGATTGTATCTCTCTTATCGCGAGTCTTTGATCATATACCATAACTATATACATGATAGTGAAAAATATCCTTTTCCCATTTGATAGACATTATCCTGTATGTTTCATAATCACATTTTGATCTAATAGGACTTTTGCTTTACTATAGTGATTCATGTGCCTGATAGGGTTGAGCTCATCGGTGATTTGAAACAACTTTGTGTTGTTTTCGAGCACATCGAGAAGTTGGTTATTCTAGCTGCTTCAATGTATCGTAAACTTTCGGATGCTCCGCGTCTTTCTGAAGCAATTTTTCAAGATTATTTTGACTTCTATCAGCCAAAAATGGGTACTGGTTTAGCAAGTTTATGCTATGACAAGGTATGTGCTGATGGTTTGTACAGTAAGTTTAATTATTCGTATAAGCTTTTAAAGAAGCAATAATCTGTCTACTAGAAGAATAATTGGTATTGAAATTTTCAACTTATATTAAACATTGAAGGGCCGTTTACAAGCATACCAACCAATTCTTATGAATTTACATATCTAACACCTAAAGTTTAATTTTTACATTTATACAACCAAATCTTTTATATCACATAAAAAATACCTCCATTTAAACTTTTAAAAAGTGAAATACACCTTTTCATGCATAGTAAGGTGGCATGTATGTAAAAATTGAAGTTTAGTTGTTAGATATGTAAATACATTTGAATTGTGTGGTATGTATGTAAATCTTCCAAAATTAAATTGGGGTTCACTTTTCTTAGGTGGCCTAACCGCTAACCAGTCCAAATGTGCTGCACTCTCTCCCTCCTTTGAGGGAATAACTAAGCGAAATGGATCGAACTTTAATTTTTTTTTGTAAATTTCTTTATTAAGTGTAGCAATGCTCTTTAAAAAATCAAAAATTTGAAAATCCATGTGAAGATATGTTTCGCTGGTTTGCAATTTTTTTGTTGAGTTTTGCTCCAATCATTTCTTCAACTATACAAATGCTCTTTCATTTAGTTTGTATGAAGTTTGTTTCCTTGCTAAGAACAACAAGGATTTTAGTCTAATTACTGCACCATTAATGATTAGCGCTAATTGGGAAGTTTGTAATCCTCCGCCTTCCCGCTCTCTGTTCATTCCATCTTTTGCGCACATGACATCCCAGTCTCCTTCCTTTACGATGAAAGCGAAGCCATGATTCATTTTCTCGATTGCAACACTGTCCTTTTTTCTGTCCACTCGCCCACTCACGATACAATAGTGGTTAGGGCTAACCAGAGAAGCAAGGGAGTGATCGCAGCACACATAGAATTTTAAAACTTCTATATTTCTCTCCTTCAGCTTCGCATCCTGGGTGTAGCTATCGTTCGAACTCAACTGTTTGCTTGTCATCGTGCAATACAATCGCAAGAAGCGCTAATTGGGAAGGCATCGACGGCGGGATCGTGATATGAGAAAACCTAAAGTTTTCATCTTTCTTCTCCTTCCGCACTGTTCTGCCGGAAGCCCTCGCCGACGCCGTGCCTCCTTGTTCACAAGATTGAGGCTCTCTGTGCCGCAATCTTGCCGACCCCAAAATCCACATTAACAATGTCGGAATTAAGAAAGACGCTGATGAGTTTCCCTTTTGCATCCATGTCGTCTCTTGAGAGAAAGAAAAAGCCTACAACGAAGCCCTCGAGGCCACGCGCATTGCCAGCAACAAGTACATGACAAAAGCCGCCAAGAGAGATGCATTCCATTTCAGCGTCCGCATTCATCCCTTCTATGTTCTGTGCATCAACAAAATCGTCTCCAAACTGGCATGCGAGGTGCCTTCGAGAAGTCACAAGGACATAGAGGAGGAAGTTTCATTAAATGAGGCTTCCATTTATTAAGATATTTCAACATATCAGTAATGACTTCTTCCTCTTTAAAGTTGTTGGAAACACACACCCAAATCTTAAGATCAAATTCCTCTTTCACATCTTCAAAGACATGTTGCAAGAGAGTCGTCTTCCCCATACCACCAAGACCCACTATAGACAAAAGAGAAATGTTATTGTATAAATCTGTGTCAAGATCCAAGTGACACAGATTTAATGAAATGTTCATCTCCTCCTGCGCTAGAAGCTCTTGGGCTCGAGTCTCTATGCTCGATCAAATTCAAAGCTCTGCCCTTGTAGCGCATCCCTACTTACTCGATCCCGAGCCTCTCTTATCGTCTATGTATATGGTTTGATCCCTAAATTCAAAAGCTCGCATACCTTCTAGTTACCAGGAAAAAAATATTCTGTTCGAATGTCTCCACATTACCATAGAAGCTCTTGTGCTCGATCCTCTATATGCTCGATCAAATTCAATGCTCTGCTCTTGTCGTGTCTCCCTACCTCCCTACCTACTCGATCTCGAGCCTCTCCTCTCCTCTATGTATATTGTTTGATTCCTAAATTTAAAAGCTCTCATACCTCCTGCTTATCAGGGAAAAATATTCCGTTCGAATGTCTATACATTTGGACGGCCAACCACCTGCCACCACGTCGCCATAGAAGCTCATGTGCTTGATCCTCTATGCTCGATCAAATTCAATGTTGTGCCCTTGTTGCGCCTTCCAACCTACTTGATCCCAAGCCTCTCCTGTCCTCTATGTATATGGTTTGATCCCTAAATTTAAAAGCTCTCATACCTCCTGCTTACTAGTGAAAAATATTCCGTTCGGATGTCTACACGTTTGCACGACCAACCACCGGCCACCACGTCGCCATAGAAGCTATTGTGCTCGATCCTCTATGCTCGATCAAATTCAATGTTGTGCCCTTGTCGCGCCTCCCTACCTACTCGATCCCGAGCCTCTCCTCTCCTCTATGTATATGGTTTGATCCCTAAATTCAAAGTTCGCATACCTCCTGGTTACCAAGGAAAAATATTCCGTTTGAATGTCTGCACGTCCGGACGACCAACCACTGGCCACTACGTCGCCATAGAAGCTCATGTGTTCGATCCTCTATGCTCGATCAAATTCAATGCTCTGTCCTTTTCACGCTTCCCTACCTACTCGATCCCGAGCCTCTCCTCTCCTCTATGTATATGGCTTGATCCCTAAATTCAAAAGCTCGCATACCTCTTAGTTATCAGGTAAAAATATTTTGTTCGGATGTCTGCATGTCCGGACGACCAACCACCGGCCACCATATTGCCCTTTTCACGCTTCCCTACCTACTCGATCCCGAGCCTCTCGTCATGAAATTGAAGAGTTAACTTTCTGATTAGTCAGGACAGATTTAGTCGGCTTAGTTTCATTACCTTCCTACCTTAGATTGGCACTGGTCAGAGTCTCTATCACCTATAGGCCAACGAGTGGGCTAAGATTGGATCGAGAGCTTCAATAGTAAAGAGGAAGTCCAGTTCCCAAAGCTGACCCCCGAATAGTTGTTGGATTGCTCTACTTACCTTCTCTTTCTTTGGTTTTGCATTGAGAACATAATTCATCACCATCCTCACAAGAGGGCAAACTTGGTACGTTGATCGAATCTTCTTTCGCATCCAGGCCCGAGAAAGTGGTTCAGGTGATTATCGGGGATTACATCGATCCTGACTAACGGGGTTCGAACCCGTGACTTCTGGCGTGACAGACCAACTGAGCTATTTCCCCCTTTCGTCACTGCTGTCAATTCAAAAAGGAACCTACCGGTTCGGTTAATTTTTTCACTAGCAAAAAGTAGTTGTACAACAGAATGTCATTCTTGGTATCTCGAACCCCGGATCAAGAAGTCCCCGCTAAATGAGGGCAAAATCTCTGGATAGTGTCTTATCTACAGTCATTCTGAAAATTCGACCCTTCTAAGCTCTCTCTCAAAACAAATAAATAAATAAATGCAGAGAGTCTCCTGGGTAGTGTTCGTAAATTTTCGAAGCCCACAAACCATGCTCAAAAGTACGACCTTCCAAGTCGATCCAATGGAGGCGATGGACATCCATCAAACCACAATCTACCAAATGGTTCGTGCTAGAACAATAAGGACATTTCCAAAAAAAAATGTTGACTAATTGGCACATAAGGATTTGCTAGAGTTTCTCCCTTGCTGACCATGAATGTGGCGGCCGTTCATCCGACCAAAAAGCTACTCAATCAATCTAGTGTATTGATTGTGTTCTTCAATTTATAATACTCTCAACCCTCAACAATTTCTTCCAATGACTTCTAAAGTTGTGGTCGACATCTTTTTAGGGTTTATCCCTAAGAAAAGGCCCAATGGTTTCTAGAGGATGATCAATAATTTTAAGATTTAACGTTTCTCACGCCTAGACTTTCACATTTACATGCATTGCAATTTTGTGCTTTAAACCTATGCATTGAAGATGTCATTCATATTTAAAAAGTGGTAATAGTGGTATGTTTTACATGATATTAAAAATTTGAGCGCTATGTGTATAAGTATGAAAATTTAGGTGTTTGATATGTAAAGATTTGGCAATTTGCATTGGTAGCACACAATTCATATATATTTACATATCCCACACCTAATCTTTCATATTTGCATACATAGCAATTTTGTGCTTAAAACCTATGCATGAAAAGGTGCATTTCCCATTTAAAAAGTGCTAACAGTATCATTTCTTACATGCTATTAAAGATTTGAGTGCTATGTGCGTAAATATGAAGTTTTAGGTGTGAGATATGTAATAAAATAAGAATTGTGTGCTATGTATGTAAATGGTCCCTTTTTTTTAAGACACCCATTAATGGTAGCACAGCGTTGGACCAAACCAATATTTGCTTCTAATTTTCCACGACATAATCATAATGCTGATACATTTTAATATGAAATCAATCCCCATCATTTTTGTCCTTCATATTTCATTTCTCCTGCAGGATTTTAATATGAAACAAGTGGTGAAGCCGCATGAGAGGGATGTAATTGCGAGTTTCTTTCCCCCTCCAACTGCAAGTCAGTCATGGAGGAAAGTTCTGAGTATGGGCAATCTATTGTTTGGTCATGAACCAATTCTTAGGGAGATCATCTTCTCCGTCTCCGGCGACGTCAGCAACGGCCAATACTCAGGCGGCGGCCATCTCGTCGCCTCAATTGGAGACATTGAAACACATCGTATGTATATTCGTGGCACCTCAAATGATCTTCGCGTCGCACTATCGGTGACATCCTGGGATTAAAGAAGCATATAAAAGGTTTACATGCATACCACTCAATTTTTATGTATTTACATAACGGAACGCCTATACTTCAACTTTTACATACATGCCACCGCGAGTAAAGTTTAGGTGTTAGATATATAAATAGTTATGAATTGAGTGTATGCATGTAAATGCCCCCATGTATCAGATGAAGGAGAAGGAGAGGCTAAAGCTACAGAATATGCCATATATCTGCTCATCCCCTGCTGAGGTAAAAGCTTGTTTATTTGATTTTAAAAGCATTTAAATCATAATTGTTTGATAGATTGTATTCTTATTAATGTAAACAACATTATTAATTGTTATGTTTTCTAAGTATTTTAATTTCAAATGATAAATGTTAAGACTTTTGGATGTCATTAGCTAACAAAGAAATCATTAATGTAAACCTTGAAGCTAACATAATTTCTTGAAGAAATTGCTAGCAATATCATGTGTATTGATTAGGAGAATATAAAATTTTCTCCTTGTTTGTTTTAGTGACAATTAGATTAAAAATTAATTGTTATAGTGTGTTTCGAACTCGAGTCTTCAATTGTAAGTGTGTAAACGAGACGACACGAGCAGGCCTGGGCTCAGCTCTTGTTCGGCTCGTCAAAAAATACCATTGTTCGTGTTCGGTTCGTTTATATTTTGAGCACAAAATAATTGTTTATGTTTGACTCGTTTACTAAACAAGCCGAACACGAGTTGTATGCAAACAAAGACCTGTTTTGAAAACCCTAGTCATGAAGTCGTTAGGGGAGTAAACGAGGCATTTGTTTGGCTCGTTAAAAAATATATTTGTTCGTGTTTTGCTTATTTATATATTGAGCTCAAAAAATTTATGTGTTTGACTTGTTTGTTTATCGTGAGTTGTTCACGAACAATAAGTCATTTTGACAAGTTTAGTCACACAATCGTAGAATGTTAGAAGTAAGGTGAGATTTATATGTTATTATTTATATTAAAATATTCTTTTTAATAGAATATATTTTTTTATTCTATTTTTAATTAGTAATTTTAATTGCTTATAATCATTGTAGCCTCGTAATCAATTAAATTATTAAAAAATAAAACTATATATATATATATAATTATTTGAAGTTAAAAAGAGTAGAACACGAACTAACATTTCTTTAGTCGAACATTGTTCGTGTTCGACTCGTCTATATATCAAGCGTAAAAAAGTTGTTTGTGTTCAATTTGCATAGCGAGTGAATGGATCATGAACAACTTATTTAGCTGAACACGAGTTGTTCACCAACAACGAGCTATTTTGACACCCTATTCAAATGTAGACATCCACTTATAGTTATCATATATTGGCTTAAATGTAATCTCTCTTTATCTACTCTTTTAAATTTCATACATTATCAAACGATCAACATTAGATGCACTAGTATTAAATATATTATAATTCGGGTATTTGAAGGATTTTAATTTTTAAATAATTAAATATACATTTAATCTATTACATATGTCATTTAATAAATTTCTCATGATATGTATGTATATCCCTAACATTTTATTTATTTTTTATTTTCTTTTTCTAATCAAATAAATCTTGATTTTTTTTTGTTTACTAAAATTAGACCAAAAAACTTATTAAAAAAAATACATTCAACATACTCTTGTAGGGCATTTACATGCATATCACCTCGTCTTATCTGTTTCCCTAACTGACATCTAAGCTTCAACTTTTTTACAACTATACGACGAAAATTTTTCAAATATCATTATTTAAATTTTTTTTTCTAGATAAATTGCTATATCTACAAAATATTGAAAGTTTAGGGGTCAACTATGTAATTAAAAAGAATTAAGCGGCACTTATGTAAATTTGGGGTGTAACCTTGACTTAGAGTTTGAGTTAGATTAATTTTATCGAGTTCAAGCTCGAGCTTCAGTCTACGAGTTAGAGTTGGCTCAGGAGCCGGCTTATTTAATGTAGAAGAGAGAAAATAATATTGATCTAAGATATATGTTACAATCAACCATAAGAATTTATATACTTTGACTATTTTTTATGTTAATATTTTTTGAGCAAGGAGGCTCACGAGCTAATAAGTCGAGATGAAGCTAGCACGAGCTTGGCTTTTTAGCTCAGGGAGCTCCGTTCACAAGCCAAGAGTTGGCTTGACTCAATTACACCTCTAATTTAAATCTTTAAAAATAAATAAATAAAGTAAATCGAATTCTCATTCCTTCTGCTTTTCCGTCGGACCATTTACACCACTAGCGTCCACATCCGTGGTTTCCACAAACTTGCCGGCGACGGGGGGTCACGCCGGCGACGACGTGGAGCATAACGGCCGGCTATAGCTGAGAGAGCATTGCCGTCTTCGCATATAAGGCTGGCCAAGTGTCATCTGGACTGTTCCGAACCTTCTTCTCTTCGCATTCTCCGCCCAAAGCATATTTTTACTTCCATCTCGCCATTTCGGCCGTATAGAACGCGCTAATCCACAAAAAGAGGGGAGAGAAGAGGAAGAGGAGGATCGGGAGCTGTGTCTGATAGATCTGATCGAGGTGGAAAGGAGCTATGAATCGGATACTTGGGAAGTTGTGCGGATATTGGTTCTCAAAGAGAGCCAGCAAGGAGCTGTTCTCCGTCGGCGATGATATCAATGTGAGTGGTTTATGATTCAATCCCTTGAGAAGTTCTTTCTTCTTCTTTGCTATCGATTCGATCTTTCATTTTTTATTGTTACGGGTGCCTGTATAATGTTTGGATTCCTCGCATCCGATTTTCAGTATAAATCTCGCTTAATGGTTAAAGCTAACTTCGTCGCCGTGAGTCTTAAATTGAAGATTGTTTTCTCTTTTGCTGTATTTGTGATTTCATTGTGCGGTTGACCAGATATACCGATGATCTGTTCATGCATCAGAGTGAATCTGATTGTATCTGGTTTCCTGGAAGTTCTGGGAGGTCTGGCATTAGCTAGAACTTAAGATTCATAATCCTGGATTTCAACGAGCTTGTGAGCGCAGAGTTGTATATATCTCTGAATCGGATACTTGGGAAGTTGTGCGGACATTTGTAGGCAGTATGCAATCAAAGATCACTGAAAATTCATTTTACTGCAAATGGATCCACCTTGGGCCATAACGAAAATAAAATCTCTTAACATATCTCACAACCAAACTTTCATATTCACATACGTAGCATTTTGCTGCTTTAAACTTGTGCATGAAAAGGTCTACTAAGATCTACTGATAATGGTGCTATTTTTTATGTAATATTAAGGATTTGAGTGTCATGTGTGCATAACTTCGAAAGTTTAGCAAATAGATAAGAATTGTGTGCTATGTATACTTATGGATGACTAACAAAAGAATGGAACTTGGGTAGGACATGATAGGTTTGTAGAAATAACACCATTGAAGTGTTCCTTTGGTATCACTCCTTGTCACACCGAAGTTTTGGATGACGGTACACCCTGATAACATAGGGCGCAATGAAAAAAGATTTTGTATAATCAAAATAAAAGATTATATGCAAGTAATAATAAAAATAAAAGATTATATGCAGGTACTAAAAAAAAAATGCAAGGAAAGATAAATTTTATTTTTATTCCACAAATAAGAGTCCAAATGATACAATTAGATAAAAAAATAAGAACTACTAAAACAAAATTAAAATAACAATAGAGAAACATCACCTAAAAACTAAATAATGAAATACAATAACTAAAGTAAATATTGAAAATACTAAAAAGAAATCTAGAACCTGAATGTCTGCTTCTATGGAGACGATCTTCAAGTAGTTGAATAAAACATGTCATACAAAAATATTAATGGGTGAGTTTAACAAATCAAACTCAGTAAATAATCACTATTTATTAAATCGGGAACAATAAAGAATTGGGGCATGTATTATGAAAAATAAAAAAAATGATTTTCTATATGCATATATGTAATAATATAATGGTCGGAAAATCAAAATGATATGAATATGGTCTATCCATTTAATGAAATATGAAATCATCGACAAATAATGCAATCAACTCAAATCCAATCAAATATTACAAGCGTAAAACTTAACATTTATTTATTATTTGATTTTAGTTTACTTTGTATTTATATATAGTCGATTTTATTAGACACATTGGAATCGAGAAAATAAACACCAACCTAAGGAAATCCGACAATTTTTTATAGAATTGTAACTGCATAAGCCTGGTTAATCAATTTCCAAAAGAGTTTTACCGACCTTACAAACTATCACATACAAACATACAATTGCAACTTTTTAACAATAAATTACTTAAATAATATAACCAACGTATCTATTATTTCAAGTATGATTCGAGAAATTGTAATTCATAACAGTAACATGTAAGAGAAGAAAACATTTCAGCTATCATACATCATATTTATTCAAATATGCAAGGATTTCTAAGTGTTGAGCTCGGGGTATCGCAAAGCAGGTTCTGTTATGACATTTTCGCCTAGGTCATCATAATTTCAATTATTTTGCAAAGTTGTATCATCATTTGTTTATTAATAAAAATTTTAGCTCTTATAAATATGTGATTTGTGAGCTTATCAAACACACTAAAAATAGTTATCTCATGACCTAATACGAATTTTCACTGAAAACTCCAAGTGAGGCTAGATGATTTGTCTCATTTATTGACTATCACATTAGAATTACTTGAGTATTCCGTACAAGTTGGCGTTGTCATTACACATTACTGATTCTACTCACAACTTTGTTCATCGCATTGAGCTTTACATTGAATTCATTTTTTTAAAATTTCAAATCAAGCACAAAAAAATATTTTTTTGCGCTTTTTTTAACACTCAACCATACAACTACAAGGTATTTTAGATACACCATAATCTTTGTACTTTGTATTCATTTTTCAGTGAATCAAACAGCCCTAAAATGAGTTCAAAAGCCTTTTAATGTTGTTTTCAAACAAAACCTTTTGTGTGCATCTGTGGACGACAACATGGATCACACAACGCCGCGTATCCAGCGGCATGATGTGATTCATGCCGTAAAGTGGATGTAATATTTTCTCGCCCGTGTGAGCACGATCTTTTTATTATTTATTTATTTGGTTGGCAAGAAATTATGCAGCCTTTTATAGTCTACTTTGTAATCTGTCATACTAAAAATTAGCTAGTATTTTTGAAGCACATATTCCTAACCGTTGCATGCTTTCTTTGGGACCAGTCGCTTTCAAATGAAGTTGAGGGTGGAGCACGATGGCTGGTCAATAAACTCAAAGGTACAATCCTCCTTCACTGCTTACATACATAGTGTTCAATTCCCTATGTATTCACATGTCTAGCACCTAAGCCGCAATTTTTTACATGCAGACCACCTTATCTTTGTCTGAAAATGTGTATTTCACTTTTTAAAATTTAAAATGATGGTATTTTTGAAATGATATGAAGGATTTGGATGGCATAAATGTAAATAAAATAGAATAAAGGTGTTAGATATGTAAATACATAAGAATTGGGCGGTATGTGTGTAAAGATGTATTGTAGCTTGTTATAAAATGAGTATGATCCAAAATATCCCGAACTAAGAAATGGATGTATTTAAAGTTTAATTTTGTTATTAGTCAAGTTAAAATAGAGAATTTAATATTTAGTAAAATATAATCTTAAATTAGAAAATTAACAAAACTATTGATTTTATTTACGAATAATTTTATAATTTGTAAGAAAGTCATAATACCATACTGAAATTCAATTTAGAATTTTAGAGGAATGAATTTATTGATTTTCATGTCTCATCGGCAAATTTCATCTGTAGGCATTTTGCATAGATGTCGATGCAAGTTAAAAATCATACAGAACTCTGATTTTGGCAAATTCTCGATGAGGTGAACCCAAAAATACTAAAATTTATCTAATCCGAATGAAATATAGCCTGAATCAAGCCATTAAACCCCTTTTAGAGGCTTTGGTTGGTAAATTAAAGGATCAAATAAACTCTAAATTTGATGTATATGTAGTCAAATCGAGCATCTCAACAAGAGGAATCCAAGAGCCCAAGATCACATGATTATGAGGCTATCACATCATCAAAAAATCTCATATGATTAAGGGAATTAATGTGGGTTGTTCGATCGGGTGGGTATGATGATTATTCGTCAAATGATGAAAATTCCTCTCCTCTAAACCCTATAAATAGACCATTTCTATTCACTTAGAGGGAGAGAGGAAGGAGAAGAAGGATCACAGTTTCAGTGTTGTTTTGAACAAGACCAGACGATAACTCCCCACCTTCATAATTGCCAACCGCTGCTTTACAACAGCCCCCCTGCTTGCCCATTTCAAAACTTATAATTTAATTTACATTATATAATTTTTTATGACCGAGAAGATTCATTGTATTATGATATACTTGTAATATTATTACACAATTGATTTTAAAACAATTACCAAAATGATTACTGGTAATGGAATAATGGCCCGAATTTTAAGGAAAATTTTTAGAACATTTATTAAATTTCTAAAGTAAAACTCTTGCTTTTTATCAAAGATTTGAAATATATTTAATACATCCCAAAAAATATCATTTAACAAATTTATTAAATAAGGATTGATATCCTTTAATTTTAAAAACTTATTTTTAAAAATTCTAAAAATTATTTTGAATATTTTTAACAATAATTAAATATGTCATAACATATCAAATATATTTTATTTAAGTGAAAATATAAACAAAAATAAATTAAAAATAAAATAAAAAATTGATCCCGAATGAACCCTTTAGTGTGGGTGGCCGCACGGTATTAGAGCTGAAGTGATTTTGGGCTAGCGCCATTGCATGATGGCTAAATCCTAACCCTAGGTTTCTACTAGATGACAAATCTAATGACTAGGAGATCAACATCTTCCTTCAACTCTTTCAAGAAGAATTTCCGAACTAGTAGGAGTGAGATTAGGGCTGTGACGATTTGCCTTAATCAAAGAGATATGTCATTGTTTTAATGGTTGGAACACCTTTCTTTAGGTCCAAACCTTGCAGTGTTTCAAGCAAGGTAAGGTAAGGAAGACAAGATGATCAAGAAGAATGAATTATCATTATAATTGATGAAATATCCCAAAATTTAAAATTTTAGTTAGGGTTACTTGCATTCAATCCTTATCCTTCCCTTGCACCCTCAATGAAGACAAGGAAATTGAAACTTTGAAGACAATTCAACAAAGGGGGAGGAGTTATATTTGAAAGAAAGTCGAGCTCCTTATTTTGGGATTCATTGTAATAACTTGGAGGCACGATTTTTTTTTAAAGGGGGTGTGGAGTAGGGGTTTAAAGGCATGATTTTTTTTAAAGGGGGTGTGGAGTAGAGGGTGTGAGTCAGGTTAACTTGTGAGCCTGCTTGAGCTCGATTCGATAAGTGACTCATGAACTAAGCTCGATGAACTAACAAGCCAAGCTCAAGTTAGCCCCGACTCCCGACAAGTTCGCTCGTGAGCCAGCTTTTTTTTTTAAATAATAATAATTTAAAATATTCTCAAATATATTAAATTTGAAGACTTGATCTTTAAAGTATTAAAAATATTTTAAAAAAATATTGTGCATTTTATATTAAGTTATTTCATATTATTTTTCTCCTAAATGCCCGTTCTATTTATCATTTTATTATAACACTTCTGTAAATTAATATTAATTTCTTTTTTTTTTACAATAAACAAGTCAGCTCAAATTCGTAGACTTAAGTTTGAACTCGAGCTTGAGCTCGAATTCGATAAATTAATCAAGCTCAAGCTCAAGCCTAGGGTGGCTCAAGCTCGACACGACTCGACTTGTTTACACCCCTAGCATGGAGGCATGATTTGGTGTGAGAATATAAGAGATGGGTGTCAAAAAATTATTCATCTTAAGTAAATCAAAAATAGGAAGAGGAGAGATCAATTCGAGCTTAAATTGGTATCGAATACCCTAATACGAATCTAATGCATGGCTATTTATAGGCAACCTTACATGATGAGCTACAAGATACGACAAAATTAAGGAAAGCTAAATGTAATTTAAACGACTATCATCCTCTTATCATAATTCATGGCTGGCTATTACATAATACATGTCATAATCTTAATCCTTATCAAATCCTAGCACTCTGTGCCTTGGCCAATATTATACATAAATGGAGTGAATTATAGAAGCATTTCTCTCTCTCCTATTGGATTGTTTGTATTGAATTAGGTTTGATCCATTCAAACTTCCTCCAAACTTTGATTACATATTCAAAATTCAGCCCCTTCGATAAAGTAAACGAGATCATGCCATCAAACCAAAATTTCTCGTGTTTCATCTCTTTTTCTCGCATTCATTCTTCTTTACAACATAAATCCGGATTTACTAAATCCAACTGTAGGGTGGATTTAAGGAATTTACTCCGTCGTCACTCGCTAGCTCCATCTCCGTTGCACGGGATTTGATAAATCCGGATTTATTGAATTTTATAAATCCTATTTAACGTAAAATTATGTTGCAGCCAAACTCCGCCTTAGTATGACTAAATGTTCTGTTTTATGGGTCCCTTTATATATTTTAAGATCTTTTTGTTAGCTCCATAAGCCTTGTGTATTTAAAAACACAATACACAACTCTTCGTCTTATGTATTTACAAATCTAACACAAACATTCATATTTACATGCATACCACCAAAACTTTTAAAATCAAATTAAAAAAAATATCATCAGCGCTACCTTTTTTTTAAAGTGAAATACACATTTTCATGCATAGGCGTATGATATAGATGTGTTATCGGTATAAATATCAAACTTTGGTTGTTAGATGTGAATAAATAAGAATCCATTTGAAATCAATTATCATCCTCCATTTAAACCCTAAAACATGAATGCTTGACAGGAAAAATGCAGAAACCATTAGCAGAACTCCTGCGAGAATACGACTTGCCGGTAGGCATATTTCCAGGGGACTCCACCAACTATGAATTCAATGAAGATACAAAGAGGCTCACAGTGTTAGTTCCCTCAGTCTGTGAAGTAGGCTACAAAGATTCCTCTGTTCTCAGATTTCAAACCTGCGTCAGTGGCTATTTGGAGAAGGGAAAGCTGTCCCACATTGAAGGCATGAAGACCAAATTTCTGGTTTGGATGAAGGTCTCGTCCGTCTCTGCCGATCGATCCAAGGTTTATTTCAATACCGGTGTGCGGCGAAGTCGGAGCAGAGATGCTTATGAGGTCCTCAGAGTTGGTATCAGAGCGGAAAAATTTTAGGGGCATTTACATACATACCACAGAAGTCTTAGGTACCTAAACATTCATATTTACCTATATCTTTTTAAAATTGAAATACATGTTTTCATATATAGATTTATGACACCGAGAAAATACAAGTATAAATATCAAATTTTGGGTGTTTGATATATGTAAATGCTAAGAATTGTGTGGGTATGTATGTAAATTTCTCAAAATTTTAACAAATATTGTTTAAACTTAAGACGAGATGTGAAAGTTGTAAAAGAAATGTTTAAATTGTTGGATTAAAAAACTATTTATCAGATGAGTGAAGAACACAGATCTGATATTTGTGCGATTCTTGATATTGTGGTCGTAGCCATAAATATATAAACAAATTTAAATGTTGTCTTTCAACTGCAGCTATATCATGTGGGTTATTGCATTATGTACTGCTTTTTATGCATGCCAAATGTGTTGATTAATACTCATTTAGTAAATTTGGTGCTTTTTTGGGGGGGGGGGGGGGGGGGGGGAAATGGATTAAGAAATTCTAATTAATTTTGCTGAAGATGCTTCTTAAATTTGTTAAATTTATGTTGAAATGAGGAGCATAATAGATGAGCAATCAATTAACATTTATTGGGGCATTTCCATACATACTGCCTAATACCTATGTTTAATACATCTTATCCCTAATTTTTTTTTGCTTTTTACATTTATACTGCCAAAATTTTTCATATCACATAAAAAAAATACTACAATTTTAACTTTTAAATAGTAAAATACACCTTTTTCATGCATTAATAAGATGGTATGCTTGTAAATTGTATGTATGCGCGTGTGTGCGTGTGTGTGATGATTTTTTGTGCATGTCCCTATGTTGTATATTTTAGGTGTCCATTAGCGAGTTGGTTGCTTTAGCCAAGCTTGATTTTGCTAAGACATGATCATTGTGATAAAAGGACAGAAGATGATCGTGCGTTACGACAAATGTTCCCTCTATCGTATCGATCCAGTCTTCTAAATTTATAGGACAACCGGTTTGGCCTATTCAACCGGATCCCGGTTACCAAAATTCAACTCATCTTCTAGTTTTATATCACTAACCTTTGCACTTACATCCTCGGAATATGCAAGGATTGATATTATAGTCATAAACAAAATGTTAGGGGCATTTATATACATCCCACATCATTCTTATGTGTTTACATGTCAAACATCAAAATTTTGAGTTTACATAAAAAATATCACTATTACATATAAATATAAAAAACTAACTTTACATGTTAGATATATAAATGAATAAATAATATGCAATATATATGTAAAACTTCCACTATGTTATGGTAGTAACCCAAGAGATGGTGAAAAAGGTGATTGCTCCAACTCTATTGGAAAAATTATATAAGATATTTCATGTGTTTATATTTTATATTTAATGAAATATTTATCTTTATGTTTAATCACATTAGTATCATTCTATATCATTTAAGTGATAATTAGATAAAGATTTATCATAAGATCATGATTAAAGCCTCAACAAAATCTTTTAGTACTGAATTTTTCTTCTTTTGGTTTAATGTATGATCGGGTTTTTCAAAACCGCTACGGCAAGTTTGTAACCCATATGTTCTATCATAAATGTGAATCTATACTTTCAATGAGATTTGAGGGGAAAAAAGTAAAAAATTGAGAGAATGAGAAAAGAAAAAAAAATAGAGGTTATATTCTTTTTTATTGGGAGTTCAGTAAGGAAAAAAGAAATAATTATTCAATTCTTAACTAGAAGCCAAAAGTAAAGTCTAACCCGAATCTGACCTACTTCCAAAAAAATTCTAACCCAAATTCAACCACTTTAAACCTGATTGACCCGAACCCTACCCACATAACCCATTTTAAGATAAGTATAACATATATTCAGGTCAATTTTGAGTCAATTTCGGGTCAATTTCAAGTCAAATTTAAATTGGTTTTGGTTTGGTGAGTCGAATCGAGCCAACTCAGGTTGGCAGGTAAACCTGAGCCCAATCTAAAAAATTAAACGTGTTCGAACTATTAACCCAAATTCGACCCAAAAAATTAATCAAGTCAACCTGAAATCGAATTATCTGAATCAGGTTAAAGTCGAGTTGGCATGTCAACCAATTTTGACACCCCTAGCGAAAAGTTGAAGAAATACTAAGCGAATATGATATATCCATATTTTTAACATTAAGTGCATCAAATCTCACTTAATTAACTTTTAATAAGATTAAAATGAATCCTTATAATTAAATAATCAATAATTATTTAGTCTAATTAACATATCATAGATCAATTAATATTGAAAAAGTCAAATAAAACATTAATCATAATTGAACCACAAGCAAAACTTACTAAGCCACAACTAATCCACTTAGACACAAACCAGCATAAGTTAATATTCCTATCATCATCTGAATTCTACTAAGTTATGATAATTAACCTATTAATTTACAGTTCAATTAATTACTAAGCATTACAGACAAATATGTCCAGAATTTTGATGAATTATTTGCACTTTGCAGCAGTAATGATAGTTCCAAAAAACCTAATTTTGCCGTTCTGATGTTTGTTTGAAGGAAAGTTTATGAAAATCAACACGTTCCAAGCAATAATTAGGGTTTGAAGTGCTATTTTTGACATGAAGAGATGAAAACCATACTTGGGGTAAGGGATAATTAATGTCTCTGAAGTTTCCTCTTTTCAGCTCTGCGAAGCAGACTGTCCTCTCAATCTCCTCAAGTGATCCAGCCAACATTCCTCCGGCACTTGATTCACCCATTCTGGAGCGTAATCCGGAAACGAAACCTCCCTCATCACGCTCACGATCCTGGCAGCGCTTTCCAGCGGCAAGGGAGCGGTTCTCCTGCTCTCGTCCTGACGGAAAGCCCTCAGTATCGATGCCTCCCGCTCCCTCGCCATCGTCTCCTCCTCCTCTTCCTCGGATCCCACAGCCCTGCCATAACCATTCAGATCTAGAGCAGCGATGCTGTTTTCGACAATGAGATGAAAGCCGGTAAGATCGGGGTTTAGTTCTTCTTCCAGATTCCCACCGTTAGTAAGGATTGCTGGATTCTCTGTTTCTCCGAGCTCTTCGGCTTCATCCGGGTCGTAGGAAGAGATTTGATGGTAGAATTGAGAATCGTCGGTGGAGTCCGATTCGGTGTCAGAGTCGTTATGATCTGCGAAATAGAGGTTTGAGAGGAAGGCATTTGACAGAAATTAGGGTTTAGATTGGGGATGGAAGTACTGCATCTTACCCAGAGCAGGTTGATTGCACATGATCGCCGTCGCGCACTCCGATCGAAGCGACAATCACGCATATGTGGCATCCAATTCTTATGCATTTATATGTCTCACACTTAAACTTTTATATTTACAGCCAATGTACGATTACTCATATATGAAAAAGGTGGATTTCAATATTAAGTAGTGTATACATTGTGTTTTTTGATGTGATAAGAAAGAATGCATGCCTCGAGAGGTAGAGCTGAAGGAAAGAAGAGTGGTGTTAGGAAATTCTCAGTAAGGAGCCATGAAAAGTACTCAGACACGGGGTCCCTTTTTCACCTTCGATCATCTTATTTATAGGAGGCCTTCTTGTATAATTACAGAAATATGAGAATGATTTTGGAAATAGTCCTCAATTACTGAAAGAAGTGGGTGATTATGGAAACATCTTATTTTCTCTATCTTTTTGAAGAATTTGAGTCGTTGGCTTATCTTTTTATATGTTGTACAATTCCCTTATTTCAATATATTTCTCTTTGGAATTGTATCAATGATCCGAAGAGGAGAAGAGTAAAAAATAAAGATATATGAAAATAAATAGGCAAACAAATAAAAAAAATAAGCATAAGGCTTATACATTAATAACCATTGTGTAATGGGTTGAAATGAAAGTATACATCTGAACACAAGATTGGATCGAAGTACCTTGAAACACAACATCCACGAAGAGAATCCTTACATAAGCTATCTATAACTAGAGAACCAAAAATAACAATTTTGTTTTGGGGTTAAGAGTTTCCCAGAGGAACATATCACTCGGCTTAATTACATCATAGGGGATACTCAGGATTACTTTCAATAAAAGAAGTTTTGCTCATATTATCATGAATATGAGGAGATCATTAAATAATGCTTATTTCGTATGAGAACGCCCAGATGATTCAAAGCACTCGCTAAGCCACAGGGCAGAGAGTGAGTCTCTCACATCCTAAATGGGCAGCGGCTCGTCGGCTCACAGAGCCAACGAAATAACCAAAATTATCTTAACGGGTATATCCTTATACGTCAGAGCTCATTAGGTCATAAAGGAAGAGAGGAATTGTCATATCCCAAACAAACACCAACTGATCAATAATTGAGTGATCAAGATGATATTGACAAAGTCAAAGTAGCAACAGAGCTCAAAGAGGCTCAAATAAGAGGAATTGTAGAACAATCCTAAAAGGTAGGGTAGTTAGGTCGAGGTACCACGAACCTGTCATCCAAAACTACTATGATCCTAAGTCTAACTGGTCATGAAGGTAATCAACCCAGTACGTATAAAGATCCCTGGTATGCAATCTGTGAATTGCGTCGTTCATGGGAACCTTGGTAGTCCTAAGGTCAATGACACAAAACTCTATCTTAAGACTATTGGGTAGAGATCCAAGTTGTGGGAGTTATACTCATCAAAGTGGAGCAAATGCCACTGGAAAGAAACAAAAGAAGAGGTACATCTACAAAGCTGAAAACACTCTCCACAAAGGACTTACACTTGTTTGGGTTGAGATTCTTCTATCACTCTAATCACACTAAACAACCACTAAAATAGAAAGCTATGATGGGTTAGTCGGTTTGAAGAGGCTCGAGGGCTTCTCCTTGGAACACGTAAGTATGATGTTGTTATTTACCACAATTCTAGGCATGAAGACCCTATTAATTATGACTTGGCTAACAATCATGCATGCAACCCATTTAAAATACAGCCCGAAGGCCATGCAAGAAAGTTAAAATATGTATTTTAAAGTCTTGGATATTTTAATCCTACAAATTTCATTATCTTGAAAATTTTTTTAGAGTTTTGTAGTAAATTTAAAATTTTAAATCCTAAAGCTAAATTAATTTTGTGATTCTCAGACAAACCACAGAAAAAAAACAATGAAATTCATTTCAAACATTCAAGCATGCAAGAAAACAAGAAAACAAGCCAAAATCAAAATAATAAGAAAAAATCGATATCATTGAGTCGTCAACATATCCCAGAAAAGAAAAAGACAGTCGATCTCTGCATATGCATGTCCGATTCTAAATTTATACATCAATATCAAATGAGGAATTAAGACACGAGACATGAGCTACTGCTCCTAGTCCCTCGCCACGTGGTTCTTATGTCAGAGCGCTTCAGAGTGCCCTTATCTTATTTCTGTTAAAGGCTCTTCTAAGAGCTCTAAAAACTACATTAGAAAAAAAAAGATGCAGGCTGCAAGAAACCAACGTTATCAGGAAAACCAACAAACATGCAACGTATAAGTGTCTTTTATTAGAGGAGCTAAATAACACATACAAACAAATGATTAGTAGAAATCATCAAATGCTCCCATTTGCATAGTACTTGTGGGTGTGCATATATATATATATAAACACGGTTCTCTGTATAAGAATATCGTAATATATTACAATGCAAGCACATCACAAAAAAACAAAGACGATGTTTGACCAACACAAATAAATCAATAAAGAACAATAGTCAGAGGCGTAAAAGATAGTACCTACCATCATATATCCTAGCCTAGCACACAATTTAACGAAAAATATCCTAAATAGTGTCTAAGCGGATATGGTAAACTGTTCGATTACGTATTACTTTGATGATGTCGCCACACCAAACACGTCCTAAAGATCTAAGGAATCTAAAGAGTGTCACCCAACATAGATTTTGAAAATGATTGGTCTTACATAAGGCTTAGCTTTCAACATCCATAATTTTAAAATTAATTAATTATATATATATATATATATA